GGCAGGCAGGGGGCAGCGCTTGGTCCTGCTGGTGGCTTGTTGGGCCCAGCCGGGGATCCTGCCCACGGGTGGGGGGCGGAGGCCGATGCAGCGACTGACTGGCTCTGGGTCTGTCCCTGGTCCCTGCAGAGGTACGTCTGGTTTAACATCGGCAGCGTCGACACGTTTGAGCGGAACCTGGAGACCGCCCAGCTGGAGCTGGGAATGGAAGGCTCCCAGCAGGTGGCAGTGTTTTACACCAGGGAGAGTGACGGGTGAGTGCCAGCGGGGGGAGCGGCTGGCTGCGTGTGCTCTACTGCACCATTGCTGCCCTGTGACGCTGGCTTGTGCTTCTCTCCACTCCCAGCACATTCCTCATGAGCATGGTGCCCATTCTGCTGCTGGTTGGCTTCCTTCTGTTCACTCTGAGACGCGGGCCAATGGGAGCCGGGCGCGGAGGACGAGGGGGCGGGCTCTTCAGCGTTGGCAAGACGACGGCCAAGATCCTGAAAGACAACATTGACGTGCAGTTCCGAGACGTGGCCGGCTGCGAGGAAGCCAAGCTGGAGATCATGGAGTTCGTGAACTTCCTGAAGAACCCCAAACAATACCAAGACCTGGGCGCCAAGATCCCAAAGGTGCCATCTCAGAGGGCGGGGTGGCTGGGACCCTCAGCTGAGCAGTTGGAGCGCTGTCCTGGGCAGTTTGGAGCGCTGTCCTCTGAGCAGTCCAGGTCCCTGAGCGGAGCTTTGTGACTAATGGAGAAAAGAGCGAGGAAAGGTGGGCCCAGCGACCGGCAGAGGGCAGCTCGCCCGACCCGTGCTGTGTCCCAGGCCTGAGCCGTGCTGAGCAAGTAACTCAGCCTACCAGACGGGTTCCCTTGCTGCAGACAGTGGGGCATGGTGCGGAGAGGGGTGCTGTGTGCACGGCACCGCAGGGGGCGCGGACGCTTTCACAACTGTGCAGCGGGGACGCTCATGTTACAAGCTGCCCGGATTCCAGCGCTTTGCAGTGCCTCTGGCCACTTGCACATTTAGTCACTTCTCTTTCCCCCCCGGGATGTATATTAGTTACCATGGGGACGATGATGTCATTGGTGTGGGCAGGGCTTAGTGGCACCTGTAAGTGCTGGTGAATGTGATATTTTGAGGTGTAGGAGGCACCAGGGTGTGCGCAGTGCAAGGCGTGGGGTGTGTGTCCCCCCCTACATGGGGAAGGGGAGGTGTAGCAGGCGCCTGTGCACACACGTACACACAGACTGCCTCGCTAATGCCGCGGTTCCCCTCGGGCCCTGTGGCTCAGCGCTGTCTGGTGATACTGGAGCCCTGTGTGCTGGCCGTGCTGGACTCTCCTGACACGCTGCCAGGCTCTGTCCCTGGCCTGCGGGCCAGGCCTGCTATGAAAGTGATTCTAATGGAGGCTGCTGGGAGGGACCCAGTCCCCAGACATGCCCGGAGCCACCGGGTGACAGGAGCAGCCTAGCCGGTGTTGCTGGCAGCAGGTTTCTGACCGTCAGTCCTGCCGATGGCCCCATGCTAGCGCTAGTCTCCGTTATCTCTGCTGCAGGGCGCTGTGCTCACGGGCCCGCCGGGCACCGGGAAAACCCTCCTGGCCAAAGCGACGGCGGGAGAAGCCAATATTCCCTTCATCACGGTGAATGGCTCGGAGTTCCTGGAGATGTTTGTGGGCGTGGGGCCCTCCCGGGTAAGTCCGTGGCAGCGAGGCTCATGAGGGCTCCCCAGAATGTTGTGCCTCTGGGGGGGGGGGGGCGCGAGTCCCTTCTGAGGGGGTCATCTCTGGTGCTGGAGCTAGACGGGGGTGGCTCCTAGCTGCCACGAGAGCCTGGGGAGCAGTGGGTCTCCCGGACGGTGGGCGGGACAGGCGGGGAGCCGGGCTCCAGATTCTCTTCCAGTACTGGCTCGTGTGAGCCCCCTCGGCTCGTTGGTGCTGCATGCACTGCACAGGCTGCTGGGCCGGGGCTGTGGCAGGTCTCTGCAGGCCCTGCCCGGAGCCCCTGGGAGGTGTTAGCCTGGTGCTGTTGTCTTCCTCCCATCTCAGCCCTGGCGGGAGTGCCCCAAACCAGTCGCTCCTTCTCTGGGGACAATGGTGCTGAGAGGATGACTGGCTCTGCAGAGCCCCTGCTGAGTCCCGTCCCTGCGGAAGGGCAGTGGCCAGTGGGGGCCTGTCCGGAGCCTTGGAACCCCTGCGACCCATTGCGTGTGGCTGTTTCAGGTTCGGGACATGTTTGCCTTGGCCCGCAAACACGCCCCCTGCATCCTGTTCATCGATGAGATCGACGCCGTCGGCCGGAAGCGGGGCCAGGGGAACTTCGGGGGGCAGAGCGAGCAGGAGAACACCCTGAACCAGCTGCTGGTCGAAATGGACGGTGAGTGAGCAGAGAATCCTAGAATCTCAGGGTTGGAAGAGGCCTCAGGGGGTATCTAGTCCAACCCCCTGCTCCAAGCAGGGCCAACCCCAACTAAAGCAGCCTGCGGCAGGGCATCAGGGCGCTCCTTAGAAACTCGGGTGCTGGGTGCTCCCAGACACGCCAGGGCGAGGGGTGCTGCACGGCTTCTCAGAGCCTGGGTAGTGGCTTTATGCTCAAAGCTAGTGAAAACAGAAGGTCTGGCTTGAGCAGTGGAATCTGTCTGGCCTTCTGGGCCCACACAGGGTAACAGCTGTGAGCCCCTCAGAGCCTGCTGGGAAGTCCAGGCCCTCCCAGTCTCCTGTGCATTTTGCTTTCTCCCCCCGCCGATACCTGTGTGACCTCCTCCCACTTTGTTTAGGGTTCAACTCCAGCACCAACGTGGTGGTGCTCGCAGGAACAAATCGCCCAGACATTCTGGACCCTGCGCTGCTGAGACCGGGGCGCTTTGACCGTCAGATTTACATCGGTAATGCCTGCCACGCCTAACCCCGGCAGATTCTGCCCTCCTCCCTTGCTCCCCAGCCGAGGCTTCATCATTAGCGGTAGAGAAAAAAACGTCCTGCCCTACCGCTGCTAACGCTGCCTTCGGAAAGCCGGGGACCGGCGGCTGAGCCAGTGAGTGTGGGGTGGGGAGATCTGGTGCCTCGCCTGGCGTAGGGAGCCTGCTGTCCCGGGGAGCAAATTGAATGTCCCCCAGCTTGGCTGGAAGTTGCAGTATCATCTGGCCTCTGTATAAACATGGAGTTCCATGATAGTTGCAAGGAGTGGGGGGAGCCCAGCGGGGGTTAATGTGAAGCGGGCAGGGCTGGAAGCAAGACCAGCCCGGGCTTGATAGATCTGCAGGCCCCTGTGGTGGGGTGTGAGAGATCCCAGTGCCAAAGGTGGGCATTAGCAACACTGGTGCCACCTTGGCTCATACGCTGCATGGGTCTCTGGACAGCGGCTTGTGGGACTGGGTGCTCTAGTTGTCCTCGGGCAGCTGCTGTTGTAAACAGGCCTTTGCCACTAGGCAGCCCAGCCTGGCAAGTGTCAGTGGGGGCGTTCTGTGCACCTTCAAGTCCCCCAGCCGTTTCCGAGTGATCCTGGCTGTGTGCTGTCGCTGTGGGGCTGTTATGCAGCTGCTGCATTCCCCGTCCGTGGGGTCTCTGCAGCGATCTCTGCACGTTGTGCGACGGGAGGTGCTCTGGATACAGGCATCGCTGTCCTTGCAGGGAAACAGGGACACTTCCAGGCGGTTGATTGTAAATAAAGATGGCTGTGAGCGTTCTCTCCAGTAACAACCTGGGGCAGAAAAGGCCCCTGATCTAGTGAGTCCAGTGTGGCGAGGATACCAGTGTGGTGAGGAGAAGACGTCCCTGTGGAGAGCTTGTTTGGCAGTAGGAGCCCTGCATTATTCATTTCTGAAACAGCCTCTCTGACTCTGTTCCTGCCCAGGTCCGCCTGATATCAAAGGCAGAGCATCCATCTTTAAGGTCCACCTCCGGCCCCTGAAACTGGAGGAAAGCATCAGCAGAGATGCCCTGGCTAGGAAATTGGCTGCATGGACTCCAGGATTCACTGGTGTGTGGCAGGGAAATACCAAGCGGGAGGAGGCGTGGGGGAGGGAGCTGTAGCAATTGGCTGCGCTGCTGTGAGACAGCTCGGGGGTGGGAGGACAGATGCCAAGGGGCTCTGGAAGTACCTAGACAGAGCAGCTGTGAGCCCCCTGCCGTTATGGACAGGTCCGGAAATGGTAATGAGCAGCACAGTAAATATTCACTGCAGTCTTCCAGCCCCTGCAGGGTTCACTGGAGTCGCTGCTTTCCTCTCCGTCTCTGCTGCCGAGGGCTGAGTTAGCGCGTCAGCGTGCCGCCCCCGTGGCGGAAGGCAGCCAGGCCTCGCTCTGCTCTGCAGGACGGCAGAGGGATCCCAATGCTGCCCCACATTCTCTCGGTCTTTGCCCCGTTTCGGCTGTGAATGGGACCGTCCCCACTCACTGGTCCTTCCCCAGCGGGGTGTGACCTGTGCACACAGGCGGGAACGAGAAAGCTGCAGTGCTGCTAGGCCAGAGGACTTGCCTCTGCTATTCCTGAGCTGTGTTCATATGCACCACTCTGTACAGAGCGCCCCCCTCTGGATGCTCGAGGGAGGGCAAATGTCAGCAGCTCTTAGACTGCAGGGCATGGGCAGATCACTGGCTGGGGTCAGGAAGGAAGCCCCTTCCCCAGGAATAGCACTGTGCAGTCAGGTGTGCTTTGTGGGGATTGGAGCCGGGATACCTGAGCAGAGGGGCCTTGATCTGCCTGGCGGGTCCTGCTGCTGGAATTGTGCTGGGAGGGCGGCGGGAGCCTGTTAGCCTGGCGGGGGAGGGCAGCTCTGCAGGCGCCAGCGAGGTGGGTGACTGAGGAGTCCAGCGCCCTCTCTCGGAGGGGACTTGTGGTACAGCCGGGGATTCAGCCAAGCCCCATGTTCCGAGTGCCTCCTGTGCCCAGGAGCCCAAGCGCTGCACCGGCGCCGGGTTCACTGCGCGACACCCAGAGCCCACGCAGCCTGGGGGACGCTGGTCAGCTCCTTTGGCGCCCCGTGCCGCAGAGGTAGCGCTCGCCCTGCTGGCCGTGGCTGGGGGGCGCTCGAACTGCCCTGGCTGATCCGGGCTCTTGACGTGTGCATGGGGACTAGGCTGATGGCGTGGCCCTCCTGTCCATAGGTGCTGACATCTCCAACGTCTGCAATGAGGCTGCCTTGATTGCTGCTCGCCACTTGAAGCCCTCTATCACCGAGAAGCACTTTGAGCAGGCCATCGAGAGAGTCATCGGGGGTGAGGCCAGTCGGAGCTCTGCTGGGGGGCGCGGCTGCAGGGGGTTCTGGGAACCACGCAGGGCGTGGCTGGCTGCTGCAGTTTGCTTTGGCCCCGCGCACAGCCCAGACTGCTCGGCTGCTAGAGCACAGACTGACAGAAGGCTCAGGGCTCCTGCTGAGGCTGCCGGACGATGCGCTAGGCAGCGTGGGGTTCTCTAGGGCCCTGGGGCTCAGCCCAGGCTCACCTGCTGGTCGGGCCCTGCTCCCAGCTGAGGGGAAGGAAGAGTCTTGGGGAGATGCCCAGGCACTTCTCCTAGGGGCCGTTACTGTGGGGGAGCCGCCTGTGGGGCTGTCAGGAAGGCTACTCTGTGTCCCCTGTACTCAGCTTAGGGGTGATGGGCCCCCCTCCCACACAGCCTAGGAGCTAAGCTGAGCACACTCCTGCTAGCCTGAGAACGCAATGGGTGGGTCCCTGCAGGGCGAGGGGAGCGGCTGCAGAGCTTCCCAGGCGTGGGCCGAAGAGCCACGTGCTCCCTGGGGAGTCTCAGCCAAGCGGCTGCAGCTGCTGGAGGAGGCTGGGGAGCTGGAATGAAAAGCACCGCGTTTTCCCCAGGGGATGGGAAGCAGCAGGGCTGCTGAGCCGTGTGCAAACCCCAGTGCTGCCCCCCTAGCCCGCTGAGCTAACGGTCGTGCAGCTCTTGGGCCTGCAGCGGCTTGGAGCAGCGATGCCAGCCATCCTGATGGGCTCGTCTCGCTCCGCTCCAGAGCTTGGCCCAGCCCCGCAGAAGAGGTGCTCGTGAGAACTAACGTTCCAGGTCCCGTCCTGTGCTCCTCGTCTTCCGGTCCTCCCACGTGGCCGGGGGTGTGCAGGGCTTCCTTGTCTCCCTCCTGTGGCCCCTCCAATCAGCACGGCATCAGCTTACCTCCCCGGCAGCGCTGTGAGCTCCTAAGCCCTGAGCTTGTGTTCTAGAAACCCACCGCACGGAGCTGGGCAACTCCCATGCCAGGCACATCCCTCTAGGGGGCCAATACCGCCCCCGAGCCTAAAGAGCAGGCTGGGCCTTGGGAATCGTCCCTAGCCAGCGAGCCAAGGCCCCAGGTGCTGTCCCTGGCTCGGAAAGGAGGGGAGTGGGGTTCTCCCTGCTGGGTGTTGTGGACACCGCTGGGTTTGTTTCACTGGGGCAGGGGGGCTTTCTGGCTCCCACTACGGGGTCCGGTACCTCGGCTCCCCATGAGTGCCACTGACTCTCCCGAACCTGTGTCCAGGTCTCGAGAAGAAGACCCAGGTTCTGCAGCCGAACGAGAGGACCACGGTGGCCTATCACGAAGCTGGGCATGCTGTGGTGGGATGGTTCCTGGAGCACGCTGATCCGCTGCTGAAGGTTTGTGTCTAGTCTGCTCCCCCTTCCCAGTGGCAGCCTGACGGGACTTTCCCATTGCCTGGCGGATCTGGAACTTCACAACATGTCCTCCCCAAGCGTGACTGGCGAGGGGCTCGGGTCAGGATGAGGAGCCAGCAGCTGGCGGGGGGCTCTGTTGGCTGGATTATACCCTCGGGGCCAGACAGCCGTGGAGGCTGTTGAACATTTCTGTTTCGGTTGTACCTCAGGCCACCCTGCCCTTGAGGAGAGCACCTCTGGGTGCTGGGCACCACACAGGCAGCGTTCCGGGCCCCTCCCTTGCCCTGACTGTCTGCCGGGCTGTTCTGCAAAGAGCATGCTTGCGCTCAGGCCCCGTCCTGGCCAGCTCTGGCGTCTCCGGGTAAAAGCCGAGCCCCAGGGGTGCTCCCAGCATGCTGGCCAACATTCCCTCTCGCAGGGAGATTCTAGAATCCGGGAGCCGTGGCGGAGGGGCCGGTCTGTCACCAGGTGTCTCGTGTCTTGCAGGTGTCGATCATCCCCAGGGGCAAGGGGTTGGGCTACGCACAGTACCTGCCCAAGGAGCAGTACCTGTACACCAAGGAGCAGCTGTTCGATCGCATGTGCATGATGCTGGGCGGCAGGGTAGCTGAGCAGCTGTTCTTTGGGCGCATCACCACGGGCGCTCAGGACGACTTGAAGAAGGTGACGCAGAGCGCCTACGCCCAGGTAATGTCCAGAGCAAGGAGCGTGTGGCTGGCACCGTGCTGCCAGGTGTCTCTGCCCGGGGGATGGGAACGGCTCAGCTCGTCCCCTGGGCACTAGCCGGCTTAGTGGGGCTGCTCTCTTCCAGATCGTCCAGTTTGGGATGAGTGACAAGCTGGGCCAGGTCTCCTTCGACTTCCTGTGGCAGGGTGAGCCGCTCACAGAGAAACCATACAGCGAGGCGACAGCCCAGCTGATAGACGAGGAGGTCCGAAGCCTCATCAACTCTGCATACGAAAGAACCCGGGAGCTACTGACGCGGTGTCGCGACCAGGTGGAGAAAGTACGTGAACGGGCCCTGGTCCGTGCCCCAGCAGGAGCCAACCCAGGGGCCTCTGGTGGCCCAGTTGCACTATCATTAGCTGGATGGTTAGCTCCTCCCACACTGGCATGGGACACCCGGAGGGGAGAGGAAGAGACGGGTCTGTCTGTCACCCTGACGCACAGCGTGCTGGAGCATTTGCCTGTAGGGAAGTGTGTGCCGTGCGGCAGGGAACGTGCAGAGGCTGGACGGCTGAGGAATCGGGCTGTGATGATTTTATTTTCCCCACAGGTAGGAAAGCGTCTCTTGGAGAAAGAAGTGCTGGAGAAAGCGGACATGGTTGAATTGCTGGGCCCCAGGCCCTTTGCAGAGAAATCCACCTATGAAGCGTTTGTAGAGGGCACCGGGAGCTTGGACGAAGACACCTCCCTCCCAGAGAGCCTGAAGGACTGGAACTGCGAGAGAGATGAGGAGAGAGCGCAGGAGAGCACCTCCTAGCAGTGAGAGCCAGCTGGGGAGGACGGTGCCCGAGCTGCTGCCAGCCCTTGCCGCTGGGTGGGCGCTGGTCCCCAGGGACCCTTTCTGTGTGCATCTCCCGGTGGTAATGCCGACACCGGACAGAGCCGTCCAGGAGGCCGGAGCAGGAGCGAGGCTAAGTCTGTAAATAGGAACAGCAGGCAAGGCCCCTGCTCCGCCATGGGAGGGCTGGTGCACTGGCTTTCCCTCTGAAAGCTGCAGGTCCCACCCTCTCCTCTCCTCTCCCCGGTGCCAGCCTCGGGCCTGGCTGGCTGACACAAGGGCTCCAGCCGCACCCGGTCCCGACAAGTGCCCGTTCCTACTGGCGGGTACAGCAGCTGCTTTCCTGGTGCTCATGGCCCAGTCTCCATGGGCCTGTTCAGTCTGTGCAGGGTGGATGGGGCGTGCTCCTGCCAGCGTCCACCTCTCCCCAGCAGCTGTCCCAAAGCCAGGAGGGTGCTGGAGGGACTCCCCAGCCACGGGACGGAGGCTGGGAGCCCAAGCAAGCACCAGGGTGAGCTCTCCTCGGACTAGCGACTCTGTCCAGGATGCGGTTACCCTAGTGCTACCACAGCATCCTCCCCGACTGGAACGCCCTCCCCAGCACAGCCAGCCCGGCACGAAGGGGGACAAGGATCCCAGGCCATGTCCCACAGTTCCCTGGGGCGTGAAAAGAGCCAATGCCAAAGCTTTTCCCGTCCTCTCCAGGCGGAGGGGAGGGTGCGCAGACGGGGGAAGATCCTCCCCTGCGAGTTCCTGTCCTCAGTGCCTTCCAGCCGAGTCCTGCTTTGCCGTCGGCTCCCTGTGCATAGCAGTGTCTGAGCGAGGACAGCGGTCTAGGAGACGAGGCAGAACCAGTCCAAAGAGCCCTTCAGAGCAGCGGCCGCGCGCGCCTGGTAGAAAGAGCCAGCCTGTGGGCAGTCCCTGCAGCGCTACGCTGGGAAATGCCCCCCTTCGCCCGAGGCAACGGGCGCTGGGGAGCCGAGAGCGTGGTGGAAATGGGCTAACAAAATGGTGCTAATGAAGTGACGCCACCGTGGGCTCTGCCCCCTGGCCTGGCTGGCCCGCCCGGTCGGACGTTGGCAGGAGTCACTCTGGCCCTGTAGGACTCAGTGAGTCGTGGGGCAGTGTGGGGTGCTGGTAGCTGGAAGCTCCCCCAGCTCTGACCCCTGTTCTGGGGCGTGCGAGTTCCTGGGGGCCTGGCAGTGGGTCTCTTGGCCTGGGGTGTCTTTATGGCACCTCTAGCCGTGTTGCTGTTGGCCCAGCTGTGTCCTGGGTTAGCTCCTCTCTCCGGGCGGGGCATTCCTAGCTCAGGCCGATGGGGGGCGGGGGGAGGGAGGCCTCGCTTCTAAAAGCTGAGACGTGGATTCCTTCCTTGCATCGAGCCTGTGCCCTGCCCTTTCCTTGTGCCCAGGGCGAGGGGTTCGCCTGCCTTGCGGGCACCCTCTTTCCATGCTCTGGCATGGCGGAGCTTTGCGTTTGGGCCTCGTGCAGCATCCCGGCAAAGGGCGTTTCTCTGTGCCCAGCCCTCTGCCCATGGGCTCCCGAGTGAGCAGCATTCATGCTGCAGGGGCTGTGAGGGGAGGGGCATCTGCAGCAAACCCAGACCACCCCCCCCCCAGTGCAGTTCAGAAGGTGACGTTTTAGTGATGGGAGGAAGCTTTGCAAATGTCCCGTGACCCCGGCAGGCTGGGCTTCCCTAGCTCCTGTGCCTGGCGCCGGGGTCATGCCTCGCCAGCCCCTCGGCCAGGAACACAACTGACCGATTGCAGCACCTCCGCTGCTAGAGGAGCCCGCTCCAGCCAGGCCGCTGGATGGCCAACGTGCTGCCTTCCAAGTGCCTTCCCCTGCAGCCATCGATGTTTGGGCTTTGGAGTCCCTTTACTCCCGTTTCACTAAGGCAAATGCAGGCAGCATAACCCCCGCTTTGTTACACTGACATCCCCCTCTGCCTGGTCTAGTCACTTCCCCTGGCCGCAGGGGGGTCAAGCTCAGCTAGTCACCCCTGGGAGCATGTTCCAGCCTTCTTGGGCTTAGGAATTGCAGGCTGTATTCTCCAGGGCCCAGTTCGCTCCTTGCCTCCAGCACCCACTGTCTGGGGGCAGAGCTGGGCACATCTCTGTGGGGAGCAGAGGGAAGCACTGAGTCTGAGCCCTGGTCAGCGGACTGGGGCTGGTGCTATGGGGCTAAAACTACCAGTCTAGATGTGCCAGGCTCTGAACCCCACCGACTGGCCTAGCAGAAATGCCCTTCTGGGGCTAGGCACCTGTTACCTGTACGAAGCACCGCTGCTGAATTTCCTCTGCAGTAGTGAGGCTGCCACGCCAGCTGCTGTGCAGCCAGGAACCTGTCCTCCCTTCTCTGGAGTGTTGGCCTGTTACAGCAAGAACCCAGCCCAAGTGGAGGCAATGACTTGATCTAGACAGCTATGAAGAGTGCTTTGTGTGCTCCCCCTGTGGCTGCAGCTTGCCCAAGACGGGGACTTCAATAGCCAGCCCGGGCTGCGCTGCCTCGGCGTGTTTGTGACTCGTAACACCTGGAGAGCGCCAGGCGGCTCTGTCCTCCAAATGCCGCAGACGCGTGGTTTGGCACAGCTGGGCCCTCCCGGAAGCGTTCAGCGTTTCTCACCCCGACAGAGGTGTGCTCTGTTGGCTAAGTAGCTACTGTCAAATCTGTTTCCGCCCCTTGTCTGCTAGCTGGCCTCTGCGCTTCTCTGCCACTTCCAAAGCACAAGAAGCTGGTACCCTGCAGCTCTCCTCTGACTAGTGCCTACGGAAAAGGCCCTGGCTGACTCAGCAGAGCCGCCCACTGTCTGTTCGACGGCGGAGCTGCTGCCTGGGGTGAGAAAAGCATTTACTGCCTTTGACTCCCACTGGACCAGGACCACATTGTCCTTCCTCGGTGCTGGGCACGAAATTCAGTCTGTTACGCCACTGGAAGCAGCAGGCCTGCGCCGATGGCACAAAGGGCATAATGTGAAGGCAGGGGGAATTACGTGACTGGTGGTAATGGACCCTGGAGACCCTTCATTCCTGTGGCTGCTGAAGAGAAGAATCTTGCTTGATGTTCAGATCCCAGGCTGAGTTTGGGACATTGGCAGTTAGACAAATCAGGCCCCCTGATCTGGACTCCCCACCCATAAACATGAGCCCCTCGGATGGAATCCCTCTGTGACATCCCCACCCCACTGTGGCTGTCCTGCCTGTCTTTCCAGCAGTGCCACTCAGGTAGGGAGCAAGGAGGGAAGGAGAGGATGGAGCTGACGCTATTAGTATTTATAATGTATTTCCTCTCACGTGGTGGAGCTGGCGTAGCAGTGTGTGCTTGGGAGGGGGAAGGCAGCGCGAAGGAACTAGCCTTGTCTCCGGCGATCCAGCCCCCTTTTACCACTGCCCTGGGCTCAACTTGATAACGGTGGAGTTGTGATTTTAATGCAGGGTGCCAAATAAACCAAACCCCACTGTGTGGTGAGGGGTCGTTCCCTGTGTCGGCGCTTTCCTTTCTGCCACAGCCAGGGTGCTTGACTTAGCCCCAAGCACGTGTGACTAGCCCAGTGGCTGCAGGTGATGAGCCCAGCTGGTCCCAGTGCAGCATTGGAGCTGAGGCCCGGGAATACCAAGGTCTACAGGGCAAACTCCCTCCTGCCCCACCTCTGGCCAGTGCTTTAACCCTCTGCATGAGTTGCCCAGATTAGGCATCAGATCCCATGTCTGCCCTGGTGAGAGTTCATGGTTCTTGTTGAGGGACCTGCCTGCGGCCTGCAACAGCCACTGCTGATGGCTCAAAGGAGCATTGTCCCTGGGGAGAGGCTCTGAGGGGACTGACCCTCCTTGCTGTGCTGTTTGCTAGGCCAGAGCGGAGGGGTGGGGGAAATGGACCTGCTCACCTGTTAACGCTGGGAAGTCCCATTCGAGCCCACCTATGTAACGAATGATCTGTTTCTACCCCCAGCTGGTCCCCCAAGCAGGTCTAGGGGGTTCAGATCTGTGGTCCGTGATGAACGTGACTGATGCCAGCTCTGGGCTGAGCGACACAGTGGTTGACCATTGAAAGCCATGCCTTCCTGACCATCACCCCTTCCCCTTGGGCAGGAGCACGGCCCAGCAGCTGTGCTTTTCTGATCGTACCCTTCTGCACACAAGCCCCTGTCTACTTCAGGTGTGCACAGCTGGGTGCTGAGCGAGGTGGGGGACCAAGGAAACCACTGGACACGCCCCGCTGGGCAGGTGGGGATACGTTTGTTTTTTAACAGTACAGAAAGCTGCTACACAACCAATGAAAAGTACAGGACAAGGGCAGAACAGCTCAACAGCTGGAGGGTGCAGTGCGTGTGTCCTGGATGCCTGGAGCTGCCTCAAGACTTAGATTAAAACCAGCCAAGTCCTTATTGTGCCCTGCTGGCATCACAACCTAACTGCTCTTTTACTCTGGTGGCCGGGCAGCTCGGTGCCGGAGCTCCGGGGAGGAGTTTAACCAGCTCCTGCTCTGCGTGGGAGACTGTTTTTAAGGAATCCCTCCCTTGCAAGCCCCTGCATACATCAGAGTTGGAGCCTTGCTTTTCCAGGGGGCTGCTGGCACTTCGATAACTACCAGGTAGGACGCTGGAATAGCAACAGCGCCCATCTGAATGACCGCTGCAAACCAGCCCAAACTGCTACACTGGGCTCTGGAGGCTAGTGGCTCATGTGTCAGCCAAAGCCTAGCTGCACTCCAGCTGGCCTGATTTACATGACAATCAGGAGCAGCTCAACGGTCAGGCCATGAAATTCAGGGTGCAGCCCAGAGAACGGCCTGCTGGAACCCCCTCTCCGTGCTGCGTCTGAATTTCAGTGCAAGAGCCCAGCTGGGCTCAACAGGGCAGAAACGAGAGCTGTGGTTCTTCCCACCCCAAAGATCTGGCTCAGACTTTTCCAGATTTGGTAGAAGAGAGAGAGGGCACGGTCCAACCACCAGGGGCATTATTTGTAGGGCCCTACCAAATTCACGGCCATAAAAATGTGTCACGGACTGTGCAATCTGGTCTGTTGTGTGCTTTTACCCTCTATTATACATGGAGGAGACCAGCGTTTCTCAAATTGGGGGTCCTGACCCAAAAGGGAGTTGCGGGGGGGAGGGTGTTACAGTATTGCCACTCTTACTTCTACGCTGCCTTCAGCGCTG